CCCAGTGCCATTCATACAACACAAGCTGTCTCCCCCCCCCCCACTCCCAGTGCCATTCATACAACACAAGCTGTCTCCCCCCCCCCCCCACTCCCAGTGCCATTCATACAACACAAGCTGTCTCCCCCCCCCCCCCCCACTCCCAGTGCCCAGTGCCATTCATACAACACAAGCTGTCTCCCCCCCCCCCCCACTCCCATTCATACAACACAAGCTGTCTCCCCCCCCCCCCACTCCCATTCATACACCACAAGCTGTCTCCCCCCCCCCACTCCCAGTGCCATTCATACAACACAAGCTGTCTCCCCCCCCCCACTCCCAGTGCCATTCATACACCACAAGCTGTCTCCCCCCCCCCCCCACTCCCAGTGCCATTCATACAACACAAGCTGTCTCCCCCCCCCCCACTCCCAGTGCCATTCATACAACACAAGCTGTCTCCCCCCCCCCCACTCCCAGTGCCATGTGACATTCATACAACACAAGCTGTCTCCCCCCCCCCCCCCACTCCCAGTGCCATGTGACATTCATACAACACAAGCTGTCTCCCCCCCCCCCCCCACTCCCAGTGCCCAGTGCCATTCATACAACACAAGCTGTCTCCCCCCCCCCACTCCCATTCATACAACACAAGCTGTCTCCCCCCCCCACTCCCAGTGCCATGTGACATTCATACAACACAAGCTGTCTCCCCCCCCCCCACTCCCAGTGCCATGTGACATTCATACACCACAAGCTGTCCCCCCCCCCCACTCCCAGTGCCATGTGACATTCATACAACACAAGCTGTCTCCCCCCCCCCCCCACTCCCAGTGCCATTCATACAACACAAGCTGTCTCCCCCCCCCCCCCCACTCCCATTCATACAACACAAGCTGTCTCCCCCCCCCCCACTCCCAGTGCCATGTGACATTCATACAACACAAGCTGTCTCCCCCCCCCCCACTCCCAGTGCCATTCATACAACACAAGCTGTCTCCCCCCCCCCACTCCCAGTGCCATTCATACACCACAAGCTGTCCCCCCCCCACTCCCAGTGCCATGTGACATTCATACAACACAAGCTGTCTCCCCCCCCCCCCACTCCCAGTGACATTCATACACCACAAGCTGTCCCCCCCCCACTCCCAGTGCCATGTGACATTCATACAACACAAGCTGTCTCCCCCCCCACTCCCAGTGCCATGTGACATTCATACAACACAAGCTGTCTCCCCCCCCCCCCACTCCCAGTGCCCAGTGCCATTCATACAACACAAGCTGTCTCCCCCCCCCCCCACTCCCAGTGCCCAGTGCCATTCATACAACACAAGCTGTCTCCCCCCCCACTCCCAGTGCCATGTGACATTCATACAACACAAGCTGTCTCCCCCCCCCCCCACTCCCAGTGCCCAGTGCCATTCATACAACACAAGCTGTCTCCCCCCCCCCCACTCCCAGTGCCATTCATACAACACAAGCTGTCTCCCCCCCCCCCCCCACTCCCAGTGCCATTCATACAACACAAGCTGTCTCCCTCCCCCCACTCCCAGTGCCCAGTGCCATTCATACAACACAAGCTGTCTCCCCCCCCCCCCACTCCCAGTGCCATTCATACAACACAAGCTGTCTCCCCCCCCCCCACTCCCAGTGCCATTCATACAACACAAGCTGTCTCCCCCCCCCCCACTCACAGTGCCATTCATACAACACAAGCTGTCTCCCCCCCCCCCCCACTCCCAGTGCCATTCATACAACACAAGCTGTCTCCCCCCCCCCCCCCCACTCACAGTGCCATTCATACAACACAAGCTGTCTCCCCCCCCCCCCACTCCCAGTGCCATTCATACAACACAAGCTGTCTCCCCCCCCCCCACTCCCAGTGCCATTCATACAACACAAGCTGTCTCCCCCCCCCCCCACTCCCAGTGCCATTCATACAACACAAGCTGTCTCCCCCCCCCCCCACTCACAGTGCCATGTGACATTCATACAACACAAGCTGTCTCCCCCCCCCCCCCACTCACAGTGCCATGTGACATTCATACAACACAAGCTGTCTCCCCCCCCCCCCACTCCCAGGTGACATTCATACAACACAAGCTGTCTCCCCCCCCCCCCCCACTCCCAGTGCCATTCATACAACACAAGCTGTCTCCCCCCCCCCCCCACTCCCAGTGCCATTCATACAACACAAGCTGTCTCCCCCCCCCCCACTCCCAGTGCCATGTGACATTCATACAACACAAGCTGTCCCCCCCCCACTCCCAGTGCCATGTGACATTCATACAACACAAGCTGTCTCCCCCCCCCCCCACTCCCAGTGCCATGTGACATTCATACAACACAAGCTGTCTCCCCCCCCCCCCCCACTCCCAGTGCCATTCATACACCACAAGCTGTCTCCCCCCCCCCCCACTCCCATTCATACACCACAAGCTGTCCCCCCCCCACTCCCAGTGCCATGTGACATTCATACAACACAAGCTGTCTCCCCCCCCCCCCCACTCCCAGTGCCATTCATACAACACAAGCTGTCCCCCCCCCCACTCCCAGTGCCATGTGACATTCATACAACACAAGCTGTCTCCCCCCCCCCCCACTCCCAGTGCCATTCATACACCACAAGCTGTCCCCCCCCCACTCCCAGTGCCATGTGACATTCATACAACACAAGCTGTCTCCCCCCCCCCCACTCCCAGTGACATTCATACACCACAAGCTGTCCCCCCCCCACTCCCAGTGCCATGTGACATTCATACAACACAAGCTGTCTCCCCCCCCCCCCACTCCCAGTGCCATGTGACATTCATACAACACAAGCTGTCTCCCCCCCCCCCACTCCCATTCATACACCACAAGCTGTCCCCCCCCCCACTCCCAGTGCCATGTGACATTCATACAACACAAGCTGTCTCCCCCCCCCCCCCACTCCCAGTGACATTCATACACCACAAGCTGTCCCCCCCCCCACTCCCAGTGCCATTCATACAACACAAGCTGTCTCCCCCCCCCCCCACTCCCAGTGACATTCATACAACACAAGCTGTCTCCCCCCCCCCCCCCCACTCCCAGTGCCATTCATACACCACAAGCTGTCTCCCCCCCCCCACTCCCATTCATACACCACAAGCTGTCCCCCCCCCACTCCCAGTGCCATGTGACATTCATACAACACAAGCTGTCTCCCCCCCCCCCACTCCCAGTGCCATTCATACAACACAAGCTGTCTCCCCCCCCCCCCCACTCCCAGTGCCATTCATACAACACAAGCTGTCTCCCCCCCCCCCCCACTCCCATTCATACAACACAAGCTGTCCCCCCCCCCACTCCCAGTGCCATTCATACAACACAAGCTGTCTCCCCCCCCCCCACTCCCAGTGCCATTCATACAACACAAGCTGTCTCCCCCCCCCCCACTCCCAGTGCCATTCATACAACACAAGCTGTCTCCCCCCCCCCCCCCACTCCCATTCATACACCACAAGCTGTCTCCCCCCCACTCCCAGTGCCATGTGACATTCATACAACACAAGCTGTCTCCCCCCCACTCCCAGTGCCATGTGACATTCATACAACACAAGCTGTCTCCCCCCCCCCCCCACTCCCAGTGCCATTCATACAACACAAGCTGTCTCCCCCCCCCCCCCCACTCCCATTCATACACCACAAGCTGTCTCCCCCCCACTCCCAGTGCCATGTGACATTCATACAACACAAGCTGTCTCCCCCCCCCCCCCACTCCCATTCATACAACACAAGCTGTCTCCCCCCCCCCCCACTCCCATTCATACAACACAAGCTGTCTCCCCCCCCCCCACTCCCAGTGCCATTCATACAACACAAGCTGTCTCCCCCCCCCCCCACTCCCATTCATACAACACAAGCTGTCTCCCCCCCCCCCCACTCCCATTCATACACCACAAGCTGTCCCCCCCCCACTCCCAGTGCCATGTGACATTCATACAACACAAGCTGTCTCCCCCCCCCCCCCCCCACTCCCATTCATACAACACAAGCTGTCTCCCCCCCCCCACTCCCATTCATACAACACAAGCTGTCTCCCCCCCCCCACTCCCAGTGCCATTCATACAACACAAGCTGTCTCCCCCCCCCCCCCACTCACAGTGACATTCATACAACACAAGCTGTCTCCCCCCCCCCCCCACTCCCAGTGCCATGTGACATTCATACAACACAAGCTGTCCCCCCCCCACTCCCAGTGACATTCATACACCACAAGCTGTCTCCCCCCCCCCCACTCACAGTGCCATGTGACATTCATACAACACAAGCTGTCTCCCCCCCCCCCACTCCCATTCATACAACACAAGCTGTCTCCCCCCCCCCCCCACTCCCATTCATACACCACAAGCTGTCTCCCCCCCCCCACTCCCAGTGCCATTCATACAACACAAGCTGTCTCCCCCCCCCCACTCCCAGTGCCATTCATACAACACAAGCTGTCTCCCCCCCCCCCCCCCCCACTCCCAGTGCCATTCATACAACACAAGCTGTCTCCCCCCCCCCCACTCCCATTCATACAACACAAGCTGTCTCCCCCCCCCCCCACTCCCATTCATACAACACAAGCTGTCTCCCCCCCCCCCCCCCACTCCCATTCATACACCACAAGCTGTCCCCCCCCCACTCCCAGTGCCATGTGACATTCATACAACACAAGCTGTCTCCCCCCCCCCACTCCCAGTGCCATTCATACACCACAAGCTGTCTCCCCCCCCCCCCACTCACAGTGCCATGTGACATTCATACACCACAAGCTGTCTCCCCCCCCCCCACTCCCAGTGCCATTCATACACCACAAGCTGTCTCCCCCCCCCCCCCACTCACAGTGCCATGTGACATTCATACACCACAAGCTGTCCCCCCCCCACTCACAGTGCCATGTGACATTCATACACCACAAGCTGTCTCCCCCCCCCCCCCCCCCCCAGTGCTATGTGACCAAAAACAATCAGCTGAGTTGACTGAAAGCACCAGTAAAAAAATGCACTAGTTACCACAAGAGCAGTAGAGAGAGTCCTTTGATCCTTGTCCAGTTCAACTCGCAAGATTTCTTCTGCTGGTGGACCAAGGTGTAAGACCTCTTGTCTGTGGTGGACAGGTGACTGGGGAGTGGGGGAACATTAGGGTTAAAATAGGGGGAACATTAGGGTTAAACAAGGGGGAACATTAGGGTTAAACAAAGTGAACATTAGGGTTAAACAAGGGGGAACATTAGGGTTAAACAAGGGGGAACATTAGGGTTAAACAAGGGGGAACATTAGGGTTAAACAAGGGGGAACATTAGGGTTAAACAAGGGGAACATTAGGGTTAAACAAGGGGGAACATTAGGGTTAAACAAGGGGGAACATTAGGGTTAAACAAGGGGGAACATTAGGGTTAAACAAGGGGGAACATTAGGGTTAAACAAGGGGGAACATTAGGGTTAAACAAGGGGGAACATTAGGGTTAAACAAGGGGAAACATTAGGGTTAAACAAGGGGGAACATTAGGGTTAAACAAGGGGAACATTAGGGTTAAACAAGGGGAACATTAGGGTTAAACAAGGGGGAACGTTAGGGTTAAACAAGGGGAACATTAGGGTTAAAATAGGGGGAACATTAGGGTTAAACAAAGGGGAACATTAGAGTTAAACAAGGGGAAACATTAGGGTTAAACAAGGGGGAACATGAGGGTTAAACAAGGGGGAACATTAGGGTTAAACAAGGGGGAACGTTAGGGTTAAACAAGGGGAACATTAGGGTTAAACAAGGGGGAACATTAGGGTTAAACAAGGGGAACATTAAGGTTAAACAAGGGGAACATTAGGGTTAAACAAGGGGGAACATTAGGGTTAAACAAGGGGAACATTAGGGTTAAACAAGGGGGAACATTAGGGTTAAACAAGGGGGAACATTAGGGTTAAACAAGGGGAACATTAGGGTTAAACAAGGGGGAACATTAGGGTTAAACAAGGGGGAACATTAGGGTTAAACAAGGGGGAACATTAGGGTTAAACAAGGGGGAACATTAGGGTTAAACAAGGGGGAACATTAGGGTTAAACAAGGGGGAACATGAGGGTTAAACAAGGGGGAACATTAGGGTTAAACAAGGGGGAACGTTAGGGTTAAACAAGGGGGAACATTAGGGTTAAACAAGGGGGAACATTAGGGTTAAACAAGGGGGAACATTAGGGTTAAACAAGGGGGAACATTAGGGTTAAACAAGGGGGAACATTAGGGTTAAACAAGGGGAACATTAGGGTTAAACAAGGGGAACATTAGGGTTAAACAAGGGGGAACATTAGGGTTAAACAAGGGGGAACATTAGGGTTAAACAAGGGGGAACATTAGGGTTAAACAAGGGGGAACATTAGGGTTAAACAAGGGGGAACATTAGGGTTAAACAAGGGGGAACATTAGGGTTAAACAAGGGGAAACATTAGGGTTAAACAAGGGGGAACATTAGGGTTAAACAAGGGGAACATTAGGGTTAAACAAGGGGAACATTAGGGTTAAACAAGGGGGAACGTTAGGGTTAAACAAGGGGAACATTAGGGTTAAAATAGGGGGAACATTAGGGTTAAACAAAGGGGAACATTAGGGTTAAACAAGGGGAAACATTAGGGTTAAACAAGGGGGAACATGAGGGTTAAACAAGGGGGAACATTAGGGTTAAACAAGGGGGAACGTTAGGGTTAAACAAGGGGAACATTAGGGTTAAACAAGGGGGAACATTAGGGTTAAACAAGGGGAACATTAAGGTTAAACAAGGGGAACATTAGGGTTAAACAAGGGGGAACATTAGGGTTAAACAAGGGGAACATTAGGGTTAAACAAGGGGGAACATTAGGGTTAAACAAGGGGGAACATTAGGGTTAAACAAGGGGAACATTAGGGTTAAACAAGGGGGAACATTAGGGTTAAACAAGGGGGAACATTAGGGTTAAACAAGGGGAACATTAGGGTTAAACAAGGGGGAACATTAGGGTTAAACAAGGGGGAACATTAGGGTTAAACAAGGGGGAACATTAAGGTTAAACAAGGGGAACATTAGGGTTAAACAAGGGGGAACATTAGGGTTAAACAAGGGGGAACATTAGGGTTAAACAAGGGGGAACATTAGGGTTAAACAAGGGGGAACATGAGGGTTAAACAAGGGGGAACATTAGGGTTAAACAAGGGGGAACATTAGGGTTAAACAAGGGGAACATTAGGGTTAAACAAGGGGGAACATTAGGGTTAAACAAGGGGGAACATTAAGGTTAAACAAGGGGAACATTAGGGTTAAACAAGGGGGAACATTAGGGTTAAACAAGGGGAACATTAGGGTTAAACAAGGGGAACATTAGGGTTAAACAAGGGGGAACATTAAGGTTAAACAAGGGGAACATTAGGGTTAAACAAGGGGGAACATTAGGGTTAAACAAGGGGGAACATTAGGGTTAAACAAGGGGAACATTAGGGTTAAACAAGGGGGAACATTAGGGTTAAACAAGGGGAACATTAGGGTTAAACAAGGGGGAACATTAGGGTTAAACAAGGGGCTTTTAAATAAGAGGAATATTAGGATTAATAAGTAAATAAATAAATTTCTGAAAAGTATATAATATACTGTAAGCCTAAGTTTAAGGTCAACCAATAAATAACCGAACAGTATCAGAAATAATTGTAATATTAATCCTCTAGAAACCATTCCCTTAAAGATAGGCCTAGCTGATAAAAAAGTGTTGTTTTAAACCACATAAAAGATCCAGTTGGATGTTTTTTATCAGAGGGCCAAGTTCACGGTGCAAGTAAGTGCTCCTGACGTTGCAACATTTCTACAGCAGAGTCTCATTTTTTAAACTTAAATAATCAGCTCAATATAAAATCTATTTCATTATGTCATTGGCCAAAAAAAAAAAACAACTAATAACTACTTGATTTTTAGTAAGCTTTAGTCAGTTTGAATAGTGTGTAAGCACTGACGCATAATATCATAGAAAAACTATGGGCAGTGGCACCATGTCACGCATTTGGTCAATAGCCACAGGGGTAGGTTGCACGCATTTGGTCAATAGCCACTGGGGTAGGTAGGTTGCACGCATTTGGTCAATGGCCACAGGGGTAGGTTGCACGCATTTGGTCAATAGCCACAGGGGTAGGTCAATAGCCACAGGGGTAGGTAGGTTGCACGCATTTGGTCAATAGCCACAGGGGTAGGTAGGTTGCACGCATTTGCTCAATAGCCACAGGGGTAGGTAGGTTGCACGCATTTGGTCAATAGCCACAGGGGTAGGTCAATAGCCACAGGGGTAGGTAGGTTGCACGCATTTGCTCAATAGCCACAGGGGTAGGTAGGTTGCACGCATTTGCCCAATAGCCACAGGGGTAGGTAGGTTGCACGCATTTGGTCAATAGCCACAGGGGTAGGTAGGTTGCACGCATTTGGTCAATAGCCACAGGGGTAGGTAGGTTGCACGCATTTGCCCTATAGCCAAAGGGGTAGGTAGGTTGCACGCATTTGCCCTATAGCCAAAGGGGTAGGTAGGTTGCACGCATTTGGTCAATAGCCACAGGGGTAGGTAGGTTGCACGCATTTGGTCAATAGCCACAGGGGTAGGTAGGTTGCACGCATTTGGTCAATAGCCACAGGGGTAGGTAGGTTGCACGCATTTGGTCAATAGCCACAGGGGTAGGTAGGTTGCACGCATTTGGTCTATAGCCAAAGGGGTAGGTAGGTTTCATGCATTTGGTCAATAGCCACAGGGGTAGGTAAACTTAAAGCTTCAAGGGCCTTATGAATTGTGAGCATTGAAATGGTTGTTTCCTAAAATGTGAGCATTGAAATGTTTCCTACCTGCATTCCTTTGAGCAGATGAGTATTGTGGTCTGGGCTACTCTCCATGGACCAGTCACTATGAGCAGGGGAAGGGAGTACCACAGTCCTACTGGCTACTGGTGAGGTCTGTACCACAGTCCTACTGGCTACTGGTGAGGTCTGTACCACAGTCCTACTGGCTACTGGTGAGGTCTGTACCACAGTCCTACTGGCTACTGGTGAGGTCTGTACCACTGGACACACTGCCCTGCTCTCATCCAGGCCGCGGTCCATGCTCATGTCTGTTGGGGCTAGCTGGCCTGACTCCCCCACAAAGGTGGACCACTCAACCAGATGATTGTCCTCATGTGCCTCACCTTCCTCTTCGTGCAGGAGCCTGGCCTCACTAGTGGCCCTCTCCAGCACTTTCTTGGACCAGCTTTTCTTCTTGCTACAAACTGCGGGTTCAGCAGCTTTTTGCCAGGCCAGGATGGAGCCACTTGGTGTCAGATCCCTCAGCTGTTTCCTGTAGTTCTCCAGCACATCTGTAGTCCACGAGTTGCTCAGCTCTGTAAACTGGGGCACTGACCTCTGGCTCTGGTCCAGCCTTTGAGATTTGGGCTGAGGTTTGCCAACATTCTCACTGTCAAGGTCAGCCAATGTTAAATCTTGTTGGCTCTGAGAGGAAAGTTGTCAGCACAGATTCATTCAAAGGGTTATACAGATCACAGGCTAGCTGAGCTAATCACAGGCTAGCTGAGCTAATCACAGGCTAGCTGAGCTAATGTATACAGATCACAGGCTAGCTGAGCTAATCACAGGCTAGCTGAGCTAATCACAGGCTAGCTGAGCTAATCACAGGCTAGCTGAGCTAATTTATACAAATCAAAGGCTAGCTGAGCTAATCAAAGTCTAGCTGACCTAATGTATACAAATCAAAGTCTAGCTGACCTAATGTATACAAATCAAAGGCTAGCTGAGCTAATCAAAGTCTAGCTGACCTAATGTATACAAATCAAAGGCTAGCTGAGCTAATCAAAGTCTAGCTGACCTAATGTATACAAATCAAAGGCTAGCTGAGCTAATCAAAGTCTAGCTGACCTAATGTATACAAATCAAAGGCTAGCTGAGCTAATCAAAGTCTAGCTGACCTAATGTATACAAATCAAAGGCTAGCTGAGCTAATCAAAGTCTAGCTGACCTAATGTATACAAATCAAAGGCTAGCTGACCTAATGTATACAAATCAAAGGCTAGCTGACCTAATGTATACAAATCACAGGCTAGCTGACCTAATGTATACAAATCACAGGCTAGCTGACCTAATGTATACAAATCACAGGCTAGCTGACCTAATGTATACAAATCACAGGCTAGCTGACCTAATGTATACAAATCACAGGCTAGCTGACCTAATGTATACAAATCACAGGCTAGCTGACCTAATGTATACAAATCACAGGCTAGCTGAGCTAATCAAAGGCTAGCTGAGCTAATTTATGTCAAATCAAAGGCTAGCTGACCTAATTTATGCCAAATCACAGGCTAGCTGACCTAATTTATGTCTAATCAAAGGCTAGCTGACCTAATTTATGCCAAATCAAAGGCTAGCTGACCTAATTTATGCCAAATCAAAGGCTAGCTGACCTAATTTATGTCAAATCAAAGGCTAGCTGACCTAATTTATGCCAAATCAAAGGCTAGCTGACCTAATTTATGCCAAATCAAAGGCTAGCTGACCTAATTTATGTCAAATCAAAGGCTAGCTGAGCTAATGTATACAAATCAAAGGCTAGCTGACCTAATTTATGCCAAATCAAAGGCTAGCTGACCTAATTTATGCCAAATCAAAGGCTAGCTGACCTAATTTATGCCAAATCAAAGGCTAGCTGCCCTAATTTATGTCAAATCAAAGGCTAGCTGACCTAATTTATGTCAAATCAAAGGCTAGCTGACCTAATTTATGTCAAATCAAAGGCTAGCTGACCTAATTTATGCCAAATCAAAGGCTAGCTGACCTAATTTATGCCAAATCAAAGGCTAGCTGACCTAATTTATGCCAAATCAAAGGCTAGCTGACCTAATTTATGCCAAATCAAAGGCTAGCTGACCTAATTTATGCCAAATCAAAGGCTAGCTGCCCTAATTTATGTCAAATCAAAGGCTAGCTGACCTAATTTATGTCAAATCAAAGGCTAGCTGACCTAATTTATGTCAAATCAAAGGCTAGCTGACCTAATTTATGCCAAATCAAAGGCTAGCTGACCTAATTTATGCCAAATCAAAGGCTAGCTGACCTAATTTATGCCAAATCAAAGGCTAGCTGACCTCATTTATTCTAAACAAAAAAACTAACTGCCATACTTTATACTAAAGGAAAGGCTAATTCAGTAATTGACCTAATTTATTCTACATATGGTATAATTGACCTACTTTATACTAAAGGAAAGGCTAATTCAGTAATTGACCTAATTTATTCTACATATGGTATAATTGACCTACTTTATACTAAAGGAAAGGCTAATTCAGTAATTGACCTAATTTATTCTACATATGGTATAATTGACCTACTTTATACTAAAGGAAAGGCTAATTCAGTAATTGACCTAATTTATTCTACATATGGTATAATTGACCTACTTTATACTAAAGGAAAGCCAGATTGACCTACCCGAGACATCCAAGAAAAAGGTCCAGAATGTTCATCCCTCCAGGTCCAGAGCTGTTTAAAAAAAAGTCAAAGATTCAGCTAGTTCAGTCAAGCTGGACAGTTTTCAGTGCTAGTTCAGTCAAGCTGGACAGTTTTCAGTGCTAGTTCAGTCAAGCTGGACAGTTTTCAGTGCTAGTTCAGTCAAGCTGGACAGTTTTCAGTGCTAGTTCAGTCAAGCTGGACAGTTTTCAGTGCTAGTTCAGTCAAGCTGGACAGTTTTCAGTGCTAGTTCAGTCAAGCTGGACAGTTTTCAGTGCTAGTTCAGTCAAGCTGGACAGTTTTCAGTGCTAGTTCAGTCAAGCTGGACAGTTTTCAGTGCTAGTTCAGTCAAGCTGGACAGTTTTCAGTGCTAGTTCAGTCAAGCTGGACAGTTTTCAGTGCTAGTTCAGTCAAGCTGGACAGTTTTCAGTGCTAGTTCAGTCAAGCTGGACAGTTTTCAGTGCTAGTTCAGTCAAGCTGGACAGTTTTCAGTGCTAGTTCAGTCAAGCTGGACAGTTTTCAGTGCTAGTTCAGTCAAGCTGGACAGTTTTCAGTGCTAGTTCAGTCAAGCTGGACAGTTTTCAGTGCTAGTTCAGTCAAGCTGGACAGTTTTCAGTGCTAGTTCAGTCAAGCTGGACAGTTTTCAGTGCTAGTTCAGTCAAGCTGGACAGTTTTCAGTGCTAGTTCAGTCAAGCTGGACAGTTTTCAGTGCTAGTTCAGTCAATAGAAACTATGTGCTCAACAGCCTAGTTTACATTGTAATGTAATAGAAACTCGCAGCGGTAGGGTAACTGGGTTACCACTCTTGGACTTGAAACATTCACACAGTTATAACAAAGAGTCCTTTTAAAATTTTATAGCTCAAAGATGCAGGTGGGAAGAACTGATTGACATTTATTTTTAATTTATTCCTCTTTTAAACAATTCCCCCTCCCTTCCTCACACACACACCAGAGAATCAGATGTGAAATATCCTCAGCAATCAATGAATCATACTTATACTATATCTAGAATCTATGTCATTCTACTAAATACTATTAAATTTTACTAGAATCTAGATTTAGATCTAGATGCTGTAGTTAATAGATTCTAGTTATTGTTTTAGATCTAGACTAGATTCTAGATCTAGTTAAAAATTTATTAATAAATAGTTAAATACAAGATTCTATAAAAAAATAAACTATAAAACTAAATACCAAATAGGCAAACTTACATCATTTTCAAAATCTACATTTATTTTTTGCCCAGAATTAATGTAAAGGCGGGGGAAGGTTTCTGGTGAATAGTTACAGTCTGTCCTGTCATGGTCCGATGAAACACCATTTAAATTATCATTAAAAGAAGTTTTTGAAACATTTTTTAGCAATAGTGTTCTGTTGTATAAAAGGCGGATGTCATCATCAACGAATAGCAGATCAAGAAGCGCATCCTTTTGTTTATTTTGTAGTTCGTACCACCTATCTCCCATATAGTTTACAAAGTGGTTTGCTAAAGAAGCTATCTGTTTATTTAAATAATTTGATTTTAGCAAGTAGTCGAAAAACGTTTGCTCCTTTCTTGTATATTTCTCGTCATCTGCTAGAGAATCCAGAATTGAATTACTCTTTGCACAGGATGCCATCTTTGATATTGCCTTTTTTTTTATTATAGAGGAAGTGGAAAAGGGGCAGACGAGGGTGGAAGGAGGGGGAGGTGCGGTTGAGTAGGCCAATGTTTGTATTGTTTGAATAGTGCTTTTGGTGTTTCTTTTATCAAAAGAGGATTTAGATTCTTGATTTTAGATCAAGAGAGCCGGCAAAAATAAGCTAGCGCTAGACCAGAAATAAACCGAATTTGGTTTAGGCCTCTAGATCTAGTTAAAAAAAACAATTGTACTAAAAGGTGTTAGATCTAGAATCTAGATCTAGTTAATTAGTTAATTTTAACAGTTAATTATTAATAAGAATAGATCTAGAAGTCTAGATCTAGAGTCTAGGTCTAGATTCTAATACATAGACTAGCTAGATCCTAGCCTAGGCCTATCTTATTACTGTAGATATAGATTCTAAATCTAGAGTATTCTAGAGCTAGATTCTAGATCTAGACTAGATTTACTAGGCTAGAGATCTAGATTCTAGAGTCTGTTCTAGATCTAAAATCTAGAGCTAGAATCTGTACGACTAAGAATGGAAGATGGCAAAGGAGACTCGGAATTTGATGGGAACTGTGTAGGTTAGTGTAATTAATAGTAATAATTATTTACCTAGTTATTAGGCTAAATATTAGCCCAAATTGCCTTATTTATATACTAGGCCTAGGGGGCCTATATACTTAATATACTATAATATAAATATAATATTAATAATATATAGGGATAGGCCTAATTGTAATCTAATACAAATAAACAATGAGCCGGCATTAGGATTATCATATGTGTCTATGTGAGGCTGACAACCCGAGCAGGGACTTATGGTTTTCACAGGGGAAAAAAAACAGGAAGAAAAACAGAAAAAAAGTCACTTCACAGAAAAGTCACAGGAAAAAAGTCACAAATTTGTATTTGCATGGAAATTGTTAATCCTTTTTTTTTATGCTACATATTAGATCTAATCTATATATTCAGAAAGCGCACATCAACTTACGATAAATTAAATGTAAAGTAATGTGCGTAGTTTGTATACAAAGGCCTAGGCCTATAGAGTAGGGCCCTATAGAGTAATATTTATATCACATGAAAAAATATTAAGTATGAAGTTTGTAGATTTTAATTGCGTTATAGATCTACAAACAATATTAATATTTTATAAAATACTAGCATGCCCTAGAAGAGTCTGACAAAATATATATTATATAAGAAGCGTTTCATCATTGTGTTACTAATATTATAATTATACTAGCTGCATCCCATGCTCCGCCACGGTAAATCTTTTTAAAATGTACCAACCAACTTGGGAACAGATCAAAACTAAACACAACACAAAGGAACACAAAATAAAAAACACAAACAAAAAAACAAACACAACACTCATAACATAAACACAATTTAAATGCAATCATAAAGGCATATTGCTCACAGTCTAGCCCGTAGCGCCAAATCGCGCCCTTTCCGAGCGCCGGCGGACACTTCTGACACAGTGAATGACTACAAAACAGAGGCGTAGCGACTCTTTCCTGCGCCTGGGGACAAACTTTCGATTTGACCCTCCCTCAAACTTACGATTTGCACCCCCTCCCCTCAAAATTTCAATTTCCACTCCACCACCTTAAACTTTTGATTTGCATCCCCCCCCCCCCTCAGACTTTTGATTTGCACTACTTTTGATTTGAAATTCCCCCCGCTTGAACTTTTTATTTGCATCCCCCTCAAACCCCCCGCCGGCCCTAAAACTTTCGATTTCCACCCCCACCCCGCAAATTTTTCCAACCCACTTTGGCGCCCTCTAAGGTCGGCACCCGGGGACTTATGCCCCCCCCCCCCCTCGCTACGCCTCTCCTATAAAACCCCCAGCTTGTACGCAAACCGAAAGATAATATAATAATAAATAATATACAATAAATAATAGGCAGTATTTAAAATATCCGTGTTTTACCTACCATATATCACTTTATCAATTCACACATTTTTTTTCCAGTACTTTCAATTTTAAACATTTACAATAGTTTCATAACTAAATTAATTTGGTTTTTCTACCTTACTGTTATTATGTTATTAAAATGTATCCACTTTTTCTGGGAACCTAAACGAAAATGATATTTGACATTAATCTTTTTAATACGTTTTAGCAGTTTGCGTGTATTTAATATTTTCTTGACGTTATGCGAAAGAGTAAAGACAGTGGCATTTATAAAATAACCTCATGTCGTTATATAAACAAACTCTACTCTATTACTTACGATAAGACGCTGCGACGCACTGAAAAGCACTGCATGGTGCGATGTTTACTTTTATGGATCCAAAAGCTATAGTGATGACAGAAGGACAGACACAGCCCGCATATATTAAAGATTCTTAGACATGTGACTTTGTTTTCTAAAACTGAGTTATTTAAATGTAAACAACGCCTGCGCTTGGATCATACAATTATTGGGGCAGGGGTTTAACTATACGGCATGAAAGCCTTGAGTGTACATTAATCACAAAGCGTAATAGTGAGGTAGAACAGACTTTGGTGACCGCCCAGGTGTCAGGTATGTAGAGGGGAGCCACTAGTTACACTATCACAGGGGTACTCTCAATACTCTCATCAACTCCTCAAAGTTTCATAGCAATTGGATGAACAGTGTTGAATCGCATCCTACTTTTAATTAAAAAATTTTTTATATATCATATATAGAGAAAAATTGCACCCTCCCGGGGCACCGCCCTTAAGAAATTAAAATACAATTGTTTTACAGAAACCTCCCATTGAGTGTTCTAATCAACTCCCCAAAGTTTCATGGCGATTAGATGAAAGGTGTAGCAATGCATTGAAGACAAAAATAAAATCTGAGGAAATATACTAAGAAGGTTTCATCAATGCTTTACAGAGCATTAAAGACAAAAATAAAATCTGAGGAAATATACTAAGAAGGTTTCATCAATGCTTTACCAATGCATTAAAGACAAAAATAAAATCTGAGGAAATATACTAAGAAGGTTTCATCAATGCTTTACCAATGCATTAAAGACAAAAATAAAATCTGAGGAAATATACTAAGAAGGTTTCATCAATGCTTTACCAATGCATTAAAGACAAAAATAAAATCTGAGGAAATATACTAAGAAGGTTTCATCAATGCTTTACCAATGCATTAAAGACAAAAATAAAATCTGAGGAAATATACTAAGAAGGTTTCATCACTGCTTTACAGAGCATTAAAGACAAAAATAAAATCTGAGGAAATATACTAAGAAGGTTTCATCAATGCTTTACCAATGCATTAAAGACAAAAATAAAATCTGAGGAAATATACTAAGAAGGTTTCATCAATGCTTTACCAATGCATTAAAGACAAAAATAAAATCTGAGGAAATATACTAAGAAGGTTTCATCAATGCTTTACCAATCCCTTAGACACAAGACTTTGTTTTCTAAATTAAATTCGCCCCACCCCCAGAAACCTTGGGAGTATTCTTATCAACTCCCCAAAGTTTTATGGCACTGGGATAAATGGTGTTGAACTGCATCCGACTTTCATTTTTTTAATATACCCTATATAGAGAATTATCGCACCCTCCCAGGGCTATGCCCTTGCGAAGTTAAAAAAGATTTTTTTTTTACAGAAACCTCCCCTGGAGTGTTCTAATCAGCTCCCACAGTTTGATGGTGATTGGATGAACGGTATCAAACCGCAATCTACTTTTATTTTTTTTTATATATCATCAATAGAGAGTTAGTGTGACTTGTTGCCTCAACTCATAGCAACAATATTGCAACCACCTTTACCGCCCACATTTATCACGCTCATTACAAAACAAAGCATAGGATCAAAACAGAAAGCCAAAACGATACATTGACGCAAAACGTCAGCAACACACAATACGGACTGACATGGTTGACTGAGGAGAAGCCGACCAAGATAAGTCCAACGGCAAAAACAAATGAAACACAATGATTTCGTTTGTCATTTATTTTTCTACCTTGTATTGACCTAAACAAATGCAAACACAATGATTTCTTTTGTCATTTATTTTTCTACCTTGTATTGACCTAAACAAATGCAAACACAATGATTTCGTTTGTCATTTATTTTTCTACCTTGTATTGACCTAAACAAATGCAAACACAATGATTTCTTTTGTCATTTATTTTTCTACCTTGTATTGACCTAAACAAATGCAAACACAATGATTTCGTTTGTCATTTATTTTTCTACCTTGTATTGACCTAAACAAATGCAAACACAATGATTTCTTTTGTCATTTATTTTTCTACCTTGTATTGACCTAAACAAAAGTTGAGGATGCTCTGTCAATTATCTTAATATATTAGTACTTATTGTTGTTACAAACCATACCGCTTTAAACTTTTAAGTTTATAAATAACGAGCCGACCCGCGGCATATCATACGCCGCTATTTAGTTGTTGTTTTTTCTACTTTTCAGTAATTCATAATTTGTGAATTCGACAGTACCAACGCTGCCACTGAAAATATTTCTTTATGAGTAGCTCGTTAAGGACGATACCCCCCCTCCTCCCCCCCCCTCTCCGTTAAACTCCACTTAGTTACCCCCCCCCCCCCCCTAATCTCCTACGTTTAAAAATCGTTTCAAACTAAATTATCTGCCCCTAATAGTCGTCACTAAACCCGGCTCTGCTTGTAAATATTAGCATGAACCACAGCTCACCAGACCATGTAGGGGTGGGGGTGGTATGGAGCGCTCTTACAGCTTGTTTTCTAGCGTCTCCCAGAAGAGAATTATATATATAGATATGCTACCATAAAAACACAACAAACATTAATAAACACAAATATTTTTTTTCAATTCTCAATTAAATAAAATTAAATAAAAAATATTTCTTTAAGTATTTTGTGGCTTTTTCCTGTGACTTTTTTCCAAGCAAAAACTGTGACTTTTTTCCAAGCAAAAACTGACTTTTTTCTGTTGTTTTTCCTGTGACTTTTTTTCTGTTCACCTTAAACAGTAGGCCTTCTTGTACAGAGAGGCTGTATCAAGTCAGCAAAATAGTGAACAACTTAAGTGTTT